CATCATCATCATCATCATCATCATCATCATCATCATCACACTTTTTAATGCTAATACTTTAATATTAATTTAATATTTGGTTAACTCAAGGCAGTGAATGTACCTAATACTCCCACCTCCTATTTTCCCAACAACCCTGTGAGGTGAGTTGGGCTGAGAGAGAGGGACTGGCCCAAAGTCATCCAGCCGGCTTTCACGCCTAAGACTGGCCCGGAACTCATGGTCTCCTGCTTTCTCGGCCAGCACCTTCACCACCACACCATATTATATCCTGCTTTATCATTAAAAACAATCCCAGAATGTTCCATGTTGTGTGGTAGATTCAGATGTCTGAGATTAGGCCCAGAAGAGAACTTCAGTGAAGAAAGGGTTAGCTAGAACAAGGACCCTGGCTCAGCCTGGCATTTTGCACTTACTAAATTGATGCAAGCAAAGAATGAGAAGATAGATTCTGCTTGGCCTGCCTGCAGGCCACCAGGAACAATGGACCTTAAAAGCGAGCCAAGGCCGGGCAGGCAGTGTTGACTGCACATTGGCTACCTGACATAGCTTGGATAGAACTGGAACGATTGACGCTCGGGACGTTCCTAATCTGCTATTTTATAGCTTAATTTGTAAGAACCCATTGCTTTGTTCATCCTCCCTGTTTATCCCTGCAGATCTGCCGTTTGGTCTTCGGTGGCAGGAGAACACAGTCTCTTGGTAACTGATTATTGTATGTTGTATGTAGTCAAGATTGTAGATTTCTCTCCAGGATAATTAAGTTACATGATTGCACATTGGAGTTGTCTCTCTCTGTTCTTCCAACAGTCCTGCATAGAAAACTGTCTCTCACCAATTGGTTCATGTTCATTAATTTACCCTCAAACACATAACCAACTTATACACGCTGTGTTAGCTGTGACTGGTCACTCTGCAGTTTACACACTTTAACAGATCAAGCAGACGTAAGTCTATTGGATTGTGTTTGTGAGTAGAAAGCATGCTAGCCCAGCTACAGGAGGTCCATATCTATAGTGCAAATGGTCTTTGAAAGTTTATTTTTAGTTGCTAAGAGTTGACGCTGACTTGATAGCATATAATCAAAGAACTTGCAGATGCTCTTTACAAGCGGACTGAGCATGTTAAAAATGTGTGAAGTCATCATTTATTTATGGTATAAGCTACAATGGGCTGAATATGCATATCATGCTAACTATAAATCACGGTGACTGCCCCAACATAAACAGTAAGTTAGAACTAAATACAGTGTGACTTTGTGCTATGCGTGATCCTAAATTGGGTTAATATTTAAAGAGGTGTAAGACTTGTTTTTAACTAAAATAGCTATTTCCTCCCCAAGCTATTTGTGTTTCTTTCCTTCCGAGACTGAAGTCCAAAGGATACTTACTTGGTGGTGGAGAGGAAATTCAAGTAAGTTCATTTGATGGCGGGAGGAGGGGGGAATTCAAAATTCTCTTCTCATCTTCTTATTGAGTCAATACTATTGTTTCCATATTGAAATGGGGGAGAGGGCAGAAGCTGTTCAGTGCGTTCAGGCCATGGGTGAAATCCCAAATACTTAGAAGGCAATAAATAAATCAAATTTAGCTTTCTTCAAATTCAGTGATGATGGGCTTGCAACTAAATCAAATCAGGTCAACCTGAATTCAGTATGAACAAGAATGAAAAACTTTAAATATTGTCTTCGTAATATTGATAATATCTCTTCACCAGGCAGGATAATACCAAAAGAGGGAAGGGGACACAACCCATCCAATCCAACATTTGAAGAGCCTCATGAGTTTAGCCACAAGCTGGCACTGAATTTAGCTGTATTTAGGTGAAGAATATTACCTAGGAGGAAGATAATAAAGTTCTTGTTTAACTTTCTGATTGGTATGTTCTCTAAATGTTTTATAATTGTTTCCTTCTATCTGGTTAGATGGAATATTTCAGCATCACTCAGTGCTTGAGAGCCTTTCCAGAATATACTCACTGTTCTCTTCCCTCCCCTTTCTCTCTTGCTTCGGTTTTAAGGCAATAATTGCCATCAAAAGCTAAAAGCTCTTTATTTCATGCCCGCTTGGAAAGTGATGATTGGCTAATTGAGCAATTTAGTTATACTTTGTGCAATTCTGCTAGGTTTTTAGCATTATCAAACCCTGTGATTACTAAACCAAAGAAACTGTATGAAATTACGCCACAGAGTTGAAAACACCATGGTGCACAGGCCTTGTCAGATTTGACCTGAAGCTGTGCCTATTGGCAGCATTCAACGGGTCATCTGGGACTTTCATAATTAATCCTCTTTTAACCGGGACCACCAAAAAAGTTTTTACACAGGGCATTTTATTATTGCTTGTACTAATTACCATGACACTTAGAAGGCAAAATTGCTCACGCACAGATGGATTGCTGCTGCGGGTTGGCCTTCTGTGATGGGGAGCTTTGGCTATTTATTGCAAAGTTAAATCCTAGAGCCGCTTTTGGTGGGCACCTTTTGGGAGGAGGTTTTTACTTTTTACTATGATTCAGATGCTGCAATTCTGTGGATCCAGGCCTAGTGCAGTGAGCTTCCTCAGAGATTTCCCAGAAAGGAGAGAGACTCTGGGTGTGTACTTGTACAATGAAGTAGGGGGCACACCAGTTACTGAAAGCAAAGGTTCGCATACTTTTGCCACAAATATGTAGCTTTGGATCATTTCCCTCAATAAATGATCAGATATAATGTTTGTGACTCATTTGCTTCACTGAGTTCTCTTTGTCTAGTTTTAGGACTTGTGTGGAGAACATAAAATGTTTTAGGTATTATATATTTAGGCAGAAATATTGAACATTCAACAGTGTTCACAAATTTTAAAGCACTACTGTACATTTTCTTCCTGACACCAGCGAACCCCCTCCCATAAATCCTTCTCTGATTGGGTTCCAGCTATGTCTGCCTTCTATACTTTTACTGATTATTGACTGAATACACTTACTGGACTCTTGAGCTATGTCTGCCAATGAAATGGTATCCATAAGCAAAGTTGATGCTCTCTTAATCTGTTGCTTCCTCATGGTCCCCCAAAGTGTTTTGGGAGGCAAAGGAACCTTCAGAGTAGGGAAACTTTTGAATTTTACTATGTGAAAAGTCTACTCACCTGATCAAATGTTCCCCATGCCTGCAGTTTTCCCTAAAGCAGAAATTAGGAAACAGTGGTCCTCCATTCTTTTGCTAAACTACAGTTCCCAGCAGCCCTAACCAGCATGGCCAATGGTGCTGGAAGATGTAGTTTTTTTACCTCTGGTCTACGCTATGTAGCCAGTTCAAAAGGCCTCTGATTGTTTCCAGAACAGAAATTGTGTTTTATTTTAGAGTATGTTGTGCTTAATAATGTTTGACAGCTGAGATATAAATTCATTTAGGAATAACTGATTCCACAGCATGTGGCACCAAATGTAAGAAAAATCCTGGTTGCCTGACATCAATAAAAACCATCCACATTTCAGTAGATCTTTCAGAATGCTTGCACATAACCCTCACAAATACATTAATGGATAATGGCTTCTTAAAGGGGGCAGGAAAAACTTCCATTTGCCTCACTCCAATTAATTATTCAGTTAGGAATTATCAAAAGAAGCAATCAACAGTGAATGAGATGACAGACATAATTTGGAAAGCGTAAAGCACTATCCTGAGAAGAGTGGTATCTTCACTCCAACTGGCTTCAAAATCCAAAATTTGTTCAGTGCTGAACAAATTTCAGCAAATCCCAAGTAAAACAATGGAGATGATTCTCTATGTTTTTGCTAAGAGCTTGTTACAGGGGACAGGACCCTTGCAAACCATGGAAATGCTGAGATCTTTAGAAGGCAGACAGGGCTCTACTGTTAAAACAAGCATTATTGAGACAACTTGAACCAAGTAGAAAGATAATCAAATCAAGATCTCCTGTCCAGACTGGATTCTTCCAATCTGGTCAAAGCAAGAAGCATGAAAAATATTTACAATCTGAAGAGAAACCAGGTTGCCTTAAAAATCTTTTCATGTCGAAGTACTATATCATATGGTGTGTTTAAAACAATATGGAAGTTGTATCCCTTTCTCTTGGATTCAAACTGAACAAAGTTGTCTAGCAGTTTTGTTCCCTAGAACAATCAGAAGAAATGTACTCATAGGGATTTAACTATTGAAACAACACTAGAACTTGGGGATATATTTTAAAGAAATAAGGCAAGGAATTAAGAGTTCCCTATTATCATGATTAAGTAAAACTGAATGTTTAGTTTAACTGAGAATACTGAAATTTGAAAACAAACACTTGATTGTTGTAACAGATGAAAGAACAGAAATGATTTCTAAATTACAAAATCATATACACTGTTCCTTTTGATATCTCCAGTTAAATAGTTATATTGCAAGAATTAAGAATCCAATTGAAAAAAATATGGGACGGCGCATTTTCAGGACATGCATGAAAATTAAATTTTGCTGCTGGATCACCCTAGCATATCATCATAAAATCATGTTCCATTAGTCTCATGGAAGACTAAACAAAATTAATGGATATCATTTCATTGGCGGACATAGTTCAAGAGAGTCCAGTAAATGTATTCAGTGAATGACTGGTAAATGTAACTGATTAGTGCTAGTGATGTACACAGCTAGGAAAGTTAATTAATGAGATTTATAAGTGGCCTTATTTCAAATGAGGAAGTGTACATTTGAAAATAAAAGTAGTCTGGAGGAAAATCTTGCAACTTCTAAGTTTATTTTAAAATGTCAGAAGCATCCTTATGCTTTGCGAAACTACTAGGTTGGAGTCTTTTTGAAAACAGCCCCTTTTGCATTTAGCATATTTTTACTGGCTGCTGTCTAAAAATATCACTGCTTAAGCAAGTCATTTGACCAATCAGGTGCCAATTCATGCTTGGTAGAATACCTCAGAAGTCTCCAGGTGCTATCAACCTGGAGTGCATCTTTCTGCCTGAAAATGGGGCCCGTGTTCATCTTGAATATCACGGCTCCTAAGGGAAGTAATACCCATAAAACTTTTTAAACACCAGGTTAAGAAACCAATTTTATTTGTAAAACAGGACCTGTATATAAAAATGCTGCACAATCAAGGTATACAAAAATACAAAAATTTGTTTCTCTTTACAATTCTAGTTGCAAGTTCAAACCCAAAAGCATCTCTTTTCTCAAGGTTTCAGCAAGCAGGGAACACAAGTTTGTGGAGCCTGGGAAAGCAGGAATTGTGATGATGTCAGTGGTGAGTCTAGTCCAGGTCTCCATCTTGAGTCATTTTTGAAGTAGAACTCAACGGCAGATAACCTTGGAGGAGCCACCTAAGTGTCCTGCCATTCCCTTTCTGTTTGTGGTCCAATTTCTGTGGTTTTCAATCTGCTAAATCCAGATTTCTTTCACTATAATTATCACTTCAGTGACTTAAGCAATCTACATCTGAAGTCAAGTGCCAGGGCAAAACTAGAGAACTTTTTCCCGTATATTAAGGCTCCTCCTCATAATTCTCCTCCAAATATCATTACAGTAACATGTAATATTTACATTAAAAGAGACTTAAAGCAGTGCTCTAGTTTAAGCCTAGACTAGTACCTTGGTTCCTGCTAAGACATGCATTTCAAACCTTGATTCGTGTCAGCTGTCCTAAAATGAAGTTTTCATGGCATTATTCACATTGGTAAAATCAGCATGTTAGCAGGAACAGAGGCTAATCTAGTTTGCTCAACTTAAAATATAGTTTCATAATTGGATTGTGTGACTGATTGAGAAAAGATTCTTCTTTTAAACTGTCCTGAATTTTATTGCAAGTAGTCTGAAAAGATTGAGATGTCATACGAATTATAAAAATTAACTGAAGCATTTAGTTACACAGCAAAGACCACCAGTTAATTACAGAATGCTATGTTTCATTCAGCAGCAGTTTCAAAAGGTCTCATCCTTTGAAAGGAAGCACAGAATCAAAACAGCCATTATAAAAACACTGGTAGCCAGACCCCTTGTCTCTACACCCATTTTCATAACCGTTAGCTAAGCTTACCTAGAGCGATAGCTCTTTTCCCAAAAGATTTTCTGGAGTGAGTCAACTACTGAGGCATTCCTTTTCTCTCTCCACGTCTGCATTTAGTGCAATAAAGTTTAAAAATTTTACTCTGAAATATTTAGTTTTATATTAACAAAAATAGTTTCTTTAAAAAATTGTAACAAAAGAATATATAGCATAAAACAGATCATGAAATTATTCTCTGCAGTTACACTATAAGCATTTATCATTACATCAAGCCAAACAGAGAAATATTAGCATTCATTACGTAGTAAATTTCAGAATGAAGAAAGGAATTTAACACACAAAACTGATTACTTGATAAATGAAAGCTACCAACAGGCAATGAAGTTCTTCCAGAGGTCTCTGGCTATTCATATTAATAGGAATGGAGCCTGGTCAAACTCTGGAACCTTCTGGAAAGCAAGGTTTACCAATCATGCTTTTGGCTTGATCTTACACAAAGACCAGAAGCAGAAACATGTTCCTGGCTATAACTTCAAACTGCAGGATGCTTCTCCATAAAAATATTATCCTGCAAGTATAAACTAAAGGTCTAGAGTAGCTGTTCTGGCCCAATCATGCTAGCTTTCTGTGAATAATGACTTGGTGAGACAATCAGGAACAATCTTATTAGCTTGTCTCCTGTTTATGGACCCCATGCAAAAGAAGCAGCCAGTTTTCTCAATTGCTTCCTCAATTACTCCATTACTTACAATGTTATAATTTGACCATCTAACATAAAAAGTTGATTACCTCAAGGACTGTATCTCAAAGCATCCCAATTGCCTAGAAAGCTGATACAGAATAAGAGTCAACCTTCTAATGAATGAGAGATATGGATCAAGCCTTCAGAACATATCAGAAGGAAACAATAAGAAATACCCTAAAAGTGACAGGCTGTGGATAAAAAGGAAAACAATCCCAGCTATCAAAAGGTAGAAGCTTCACGAAATTAGGGCATGAAGAAAATCCACTGTCAGGAATGTTTCAATATCAATTTCTAAATACTTTAGGAACGTAGATACACATTACATATCAATCATTCAAATATCTGATGTGGCACTGAAGGCCTTCTCATATTTCTATCCAGAAACCAACATGATCACAGGAAAACCAAGATGTGCTTTCTGGAATGCATGCTTAATATGAGAGTATCCTGAGGGTCCTAAATAACTTTATATCAAAAAACCCTAGAGAGACTTCAATGTGTTTCCAGTAGAATAAGAGACAAATTGGACACAAGAGCAAACAACTATCACGGGTGTTGAATGAGAGTTGTGCAGAAAGGGAGATGGAGATTTAAAGTACAGCACAGATTCATAGTAAGAATTGTTGAATCATTCTCCTATCTGTACTTACTTTTCTACTTTCTCCCAGTAAAGCTCCAAGATAAGAATATCTACTGCAGTCAAGTTGCTGGGGTACGGGATAGAGATAGGGGTATGATGGAAGAGTAAAATGATCTGTTAGGATGCAAGTAATGGGTTAACTGGCCATTACTTTATGAAACTGGGAAGGGAATAGAAGATCAGAGGCATTGGTTAGACTGAGTAAAAAGAGGGAATATAAAAGTAAAAGATGCCTATATCTCAGAGGAGAAAAGACTGGTAACCTATTACGACAAGTGAAATAACATTTGGTAATTAAGCACAGAGGAGTAATTTTGCTGATATACAGCCTTAAAGAGAAACATCTTTATCTCCAGTAGAATTTCCTCATATAAATTTATTATTAAATATCATCTGAATAGTTCATTAACCATTTATCATCTGAATGAATGGATGGACTGCCCTTCCACAAATTTAAGATACTATACTATCAGGAAAAGAACAGGAAAAAAAGGCCAATAATATCAATATAAGATCAAGATTCAATGTAAGAATTCTAAGTTTGCATTCTTGGCAGCAAAAACTGAAAAAATACTTACCAACCGCCAAATAAATTTGGAACAATAATGCTACTACCATCCAAATAAATCTTAGTTTGGCACAGAGGAAAATTAATCACTTTCCCCATGCCCATGAAGTTCTGATATTCTCCACATCTCACTACAAGATGCACAAACTTTTAGGATGGCAAGAGCCTCAGTATTTAGCTTGTTGCTAAAAGAATTTCAAAATTTTATTCTGGAAATGTGGGAAGATGGGATAGGAGAGAGAGATTGCTTTCTGGAAGTTTCTGAAGTATTCATGTGGCTCTCAGGTCCCATGATCATGAATATACAGAGACTACTCTAAGACCTACATTACATACTAAGACAGTGACATTTCAAAAAGATGTTTATGTGTTCTTTCCCACTGTACTCCACTAAATTACCAAATGTATAATGAAATATGTCCCAGATATGGGGTCAACAATAATAAAAACACAAGCAACTTACAGTACTTAATTTTTTTTGTATAGTTGTACAGTTTGTCTCTACTCTCAAAATCTTTCCATATTGTCATGGATGAACAACAATGGAGCATATCTAAGGCTGAGCTTCAGAATATTGTTATTAAACTGTTTATGTGAAGAATGTGCTTAGTTCAAAGAAATAACATTTCTTTGAACAACAAAGGACAAGATTAAACCTAACAGGGAAAATAAGATAACACAGGACAGAAGTTGCATATAAAACTCATTCTTCCTCATACACCTTTAGTTTGTCCTTCACAGATTCAGGGGCTGTCTCAATACCTAAATACCTGAGGAGTTGGGTTGTTTTTTTTTTTTAATGTGTTAAATTGTATAATGGGTTAATGACAAAAATCTGAATATGCTGAACTTACTTGATTCTCTTTGTATCCCATTGCAAAGATGCAACAAAATTCAAGATGATTAATATATTATCTATTTTGATTCTAATAATAAAAAACATTCTAATGAAGGATTTTTCCTCCCAGAACAGTCATTACCCCCTAAATTCTAAAGTGTTATGTCAATTAAAAATGAAAATGTGGGGAAATTACTTGACCTACTTATGTTATTCCAGATCTGAAAATCTTGCATCATTATTTGTAAATATTGTGGAATTCTCCTCCAAATTATGAAATCTCTCTATCAGATTACAATCATAACATTGCCACGAACCACAATGTTTTTTTTTTTAAATGGAACAATGATAAAAGTTGCTTGTAAAAGCCACCCGTATGAAAAGAGTACATGTTTCACAAAAATAATCATTAAAAAAGTATTAAATCCCTGTTCCTTTTCTCTGATTTTGGCTGCTTTTTAAATAATATAGATATAGATATATATAGAGAGAGATAGCGAGAGAAAGAGAAAGAGAGAAATAGATATTGTTTTGGAATGTCAATGGTTTCCATAACAGCTGACGAACTTCAAGATGAACTTGCTCCAGAGGCCTAGAAAAGAAGTTATAAATTAGAAAAAAAGGTTAAAAATTAAGCATTATGTTTCTAGACCCAAAAGCATAATTAAGAAACTATACTAATTTTAAAATTATAACTGCATTTAAATTTTGAACAGGCACAATACTACATTTCATTGCTGGAAAAAATGTAGAAAATGGGAGGTTTTAAAAACAAATACACACACACATCATAGCAGTGATACATGGAGAAAAAGAAGAGTCCATTTCTTTGGTGCAAATGTTTAAAATTCAAACATTTGCACTAATCCCTCTTGAAAGCTTTAGACAACATTTCAACAGACGTGGACTGCTGAGTGGCTGCTTATGATAATTCATTTCACTGCATTTCTTTCAAGGAATTTAGGATGGCTTGTGTGGCTCTGATCCCAGAAGGGGCCATTTGGGCCACCAGACTGAATGCCCACAGTGCAGGATTAAAAGATCCCCAACAGATAGATGACTGTTCAGCCTCTGACGTTCTCTCTGGGATGACAGAGAACAGGTTGTAGGTCTGACCGTTTGGCGTTGGACATTTTAATTGCAAACATTTGCATGTGAGTCAGTTATTGCAGAGGGAAAAAGAGCAGGGAAGAGGCCTGTATGACCCAGCCCAATGCCTCCAAAGCAGGGTGCTGATTCATGGAGAGAAAAAAAGCACATGCCCATACATGTTTTGATTTCGATCTTACTACAAAGTACAGTAATAATGCTACGTTACTGAACTTGTTCTTGTCTCTGGGTTACTGATATTCAGTTGTAAGCAAGGAAGTGCTTCAAACCAAGGAAGCCTAGGTTATATATTTACTCATCAGCCATAAAGCATAGAAGGAACAATGATAAAGAAAGGGGAGGGGGAAGTCGTAAGAAGCAGAACTAGGAAAAACCTAATTTAGCAGGTTGAAAGGAGTAATTGTATTCATCGCCTTACTGGTGGGGTGGAGAATGCTTAAAACTGAGGCCTAAATAAATGGCTTATTAGACTACATATGGCTGCTTTTATTTGTTTCAAAGAGACCCTGCGCTGCAAAGAGAATGCAGCATGCCTCAGTGAGGCAAAGCTGTGATGCACTCTGCTTTGACAAGATGGTTTGCTCAAGCCTTCATCAAAGCAAAACATCCCCTCAAAGACATCCATAGTCTAATTGTTGATACGAATGGAAATAAATATGAAAGTGAATTAGATAGAACCATTTCCTTTCACCTCTGAGCTTTCCAACCAAATACATCAGAGGCTCAGTTGCAAGCAGAGTGGAAATCACTGATCTGGTGGTGAATGTTTGCCCTCTTTGCAGTGAGGGTTCATGTGTCTTCCAAAATTTCATTAGCGGGACAGAGCAATGAAAGAGACACCAGAGATAGATTCGTATGTCTGATATTTCAAGCCCTTGAAATAAGCACTTTTCACCTTAATGTTTCTAACCCTTAGAATACTGTGACTACTAGTAGTAGCCCTGGTGGCATAAACACAGGAGAGGAATGAAGATACAGTTCCTTTCAGCTTACTTTTATGGGAGGTGGTCTCAGCTGTGACAAAAACTCTGCCATCCAGGTAATAGGCAAGCTCACAAACAGAAAAAGCAGAACATCCTGAGTGACACAAATGACAAACACTTCTCCTGAAGAAGCACAGTCAGTGAAAATAGAAAGGGACAGGAAGTACAAATGAAATTCTTGGAAAAGAGCAGCTACCTCTTCTCTTGGACCTACCATTGGTTTGAGCTCCTTGCCTTCAGGTCCACCCCCCCGACCAGCTTCTTTCAATGCTTTTCTGCTGTTCTCCACAAATTCCTGAAAAATAGTTGGGGAAAAATCCTCTACTGTAATACTGCATTATAGACTATCTTTGGAGCCTAAATACTGGTAGAAGAAGTCCTCCTTTTCTATTATGGCTTTAATGAAGTGCTAGCCCTTATGATAGCTGCATTATACCTTCCCCCATCTTGTAAGACACCAGTTCCGAAACATGACAATAAAAATTCCCTGCTGCCTGGGCAACTAAGCTGTTGTTCCCTACCGACTTTCCACTCTTCAACTTCCTCCCAGGGTTTGCTTTGTTGTCCGGGCAAATGGCCTGCTGCTGATGCACTTACTGGAGGCTCTCTTCCTTTGGCTGCTAGGAAGTAATAATGTCAGTGGATCCTTGACATTTATCCAGCAGAACCCTTGTGATGACCACATGAAAGGATTAGCCTATTTAAAATGCCAAACTACGGCTTAATGCTCTAGCAACAGATCCTATAACTGATGCACTTTCTCTAGTGCTCTCTGCTTTTTAACATTTATTATTTTATTTATTACATATTTACTGAGAGAAGCGTGGTATGTTGGTTAAGTTGCTGGACTGACATCAAGTCTTACTTCACTCTCTCTCCAGCCCAACCTACCTCATAGCATTGTTTTGGGAAGAAAACAGGAAGAGGGAGCACTATGTACACTGCATTGAACAATTCCATGTAGTCTAGAGACCCAAGTAGCTTCTAATATATGTCACAAAAGAGGACCACTGAAAAGCCATGTATTTTTCCAAAATTCTAGCTGATGCTAAAGAGCCTAGCATCTAGCTGATGCTAAAGAGCCTACATCACTTCTCTTTTTCAAACTACTCAATCTGAAGAGTAGTTTCCTTATTCAGCAGTGCAGGCAGCTGCAACATGGAAAAGACATTTCTGGGTGAATGTAAGCTTTTTACATTAGACCGTAGAAAACAAAAAATTATTTGGAAGCTTGTCAAATACCTTCCAACATGGTGTGGGATGAAAACAAATAGCCTTTACAGCAAATAAACTAGCAAACGTTTCAAAACAGAGTTCCTAAGGGAAACAACATTCAACAACCATCGTTTTGCAGTTTATTTTATTTATTTACTTTATTACAGTCAATTAGACCAGTATCGTTTTGCAGTTAATGATTCCTCCTACTTAGGAGAGTGCAGAAATACATAAACATAAGTAGGAACTTACCATCAGGACTTTATCCATGTAGAACTCCTTTCCAGGACTGCCATCATTATACTTGGTGTCAATGGCAAAGCACAAGAAAAGGACGTCCACTACCATTTCATGAATAGACAGGAAGCAGTGAGCAACCAGGAATGCAAATAGGCAGACAATGATAAGGGGCAGCACCCATACTGTGTAGTCCCGCTGGTAATTCAGCAGCATGATCCCTGCCAAGCCAGTGCTGCACACTATTAAGACCTAGGGAGACAAGAAAGCAGAGTCAAGAAAGCACAGAGCAAAGAAACTGCTGATTGCCAAAGGTCACCTCACCTCCAGGCTTCAGTTGACCAAAATATCATGAGCTACTAAAGTCTATCAAATCTCTGCCTAAACTATTCTTTTAATAACAATGGACTTTAACAGTGAAGTATTTATTCATTCTCTCTCTCTCTCTTGCCAATGTTATGCTAACTTTTTAATAACAATTTGGATCAGGAACTTCATTATACCCATGAAGATTTTCTAAACAGGAGTATCCAAATGAATTGGGTTACAATTTTGATCATTTCTAGCCAACACAGCAAGGCATCAGATTGGGTAAAGATCTGTCTGTACTTTTGGAGAAGAATCCATGATGGGTAATCTCAGTTTTTAGGAACAGAACTAAAAATATGTATTAATTCAGACTTTTCTATAACTAAACTAAATTTAATCCAAGCTCTAATTCTAATAAAATAATGGTTCTTTCCTAGTAATTAGTGCTAGCTATGGATCACCCCTCAGATAGCAATTTTCTTGGGAGGTAATTATTTTTCTTAAAATTTACAGTACAGAGATTCATTATATTTTTTCCAAACAATTGGAGCATGCAATTTAAAAAAAACACAACCTCTCAACTGAAATTGAGGATTACTAAAGGCCAACTAAAATTTACTTGAAGGCTTGAAGGCTAGAACAGCAAGAGCAATGTGTGTGTGAGAGTCTTCTAGTTAACTACTGCACTATTTTCTGAATCGTCCTCTGGAAATACTAAAGCCAGACCAGTTCCCAAATCTCTTCCAACTGTTTGCAAATGGAAGGTTAATTTAATTCTGTGTTTGCACAATTTCCTAGTATATGATTTAGAAAAGTAATATGATCCATTTCAACATTTCATTCACCTACCCAAGAAATGCAAGCTTTGAAAAAAGGATTTTCAAATGCATTTTCAAAGTATGAATCATGCTCTTTATGAACGATATGTGTGAAAATAGATCCTTGCATCCTATATCAGTGTGAACATTGGCTTAAGCAAAAAGGAAAAACAGAGCTGGGCTGGCTTGATACTGCTACAGTGATTACAGACACTGCTACAGTGGTTAGCTGGAATTAAAGATGAGAGTGCTAGTTCCAGTATTTCTCATCATTTCATTGTTGCAGCCATCTGAAATATGTATTTCCCCTGCCGTTTCTTTGCCTGCCCTTTTTAGCACATGCCAAATCCAATTCTAAGTTAATACTCCAGTGTGCAACTATGGTCAGCATATTTTATTTATCGTTATATTTATTATCTCAATTTATATAATCATCATATATTAATGATTATCTCACTACTTAGTTTATTTGTGGGATTACAAAGTCTCCACTTGGAAGTTTAATTGGCTGCAGCGTCAATTCTTTAACCACCATGAGCAGAAAGAAAGGAATTCAGAACTATGACTCCAATGCTGTATGGAGGTTTTAGATGTATTTGTCTTGCAAGGCAGGTGCGTAATAAAGCTTTTCAGTTAAAGGAAAAGTGTTTTTAAATGTGTGACCAAATCATGTCTTGTTCTCTGATTATCTAGATCAGTGTTTCTCAACTTTGGCAACTTGAAGATGTCTGGACTTCAACTCCCAGAATTCCCCAGCCAGCTGGC